TCAAGCTCGTTCTCTAGAGAAAGGCCGCCCACCCAGCCTGCTCCCCTCCCTCCCTCCAACAAATACCAAACGCCCACAGTGTGTCCGTCTCTGTTGCTGGGATACCATGGTAAACAGGCCAGACAAGGGCACTGGCCTCCTCCGAGCAAGAGCTTTGACCGTGTACTCAGAACCCAGGACAGTTTAAAATTTTTATTTCTAAAAAATTTTTTAATGGAGCATCTAGCTCTTGTCCCTCATTTGTACGTGAAATTGCAGTTCAGAGAGGTGAAATGACTAGATTAAGGTCACATGCCAGAGAGTCTCAGAGATAAGATGAGAATCTAAGTTTCCTGATTCCGGGGTTTTCCCATTCCTTTTTTTTGAGACAAGAGTCTCACTCTGTTGCCTGGGCTAGAGTGCCGTGGCATCAGCCTCGCTCACAGCAACCTCAAACTCCTGGGCTGAAGCAATCCTCCTGCCTCAGCCGTCCGAGTAGGTGGGACCACAGGCGTGCGCCACCATGCCCGGCTAATTTTTTCTATATATATTAGTTGGCCAATTAATTTCTTTCTATTTTTAGTAGAGACAGGGTCTCGCTCTTGCTCAGGCTGGTTTCGAACTCCTGATCTTGAGCGATACTCCTGCCTTGGCCTCCCAGAGTGCTAGGATTTCAGGCGTGAGCCACTGCGCCCAGCCCGGGGTTTTCCCATTTCACCACGACCCACCGTCACCCCAGCAGCTGTGCCCTGCGCACGACTGGCTCACGTGATCCTCACTGCCACGCTAAAGGTAAAGACTACTGTTACTCCCACTGGACACCTGAGGAAACCGAGGCACAGAGATGTGCAGTAACTCGCCAAGGTGGAGCTTGGATTATAACATCCAGGCAGGCTGACCCCCACCCCCCAAATGTTTCTCATTCTCGGTCCCTGATTATTTCTTAGAAGGGTCAGAGAGGTCAGAGGTCAGACATGGCAACTGTCAGCAAGCCTCTTTCTAGGCCTCAGTTTCCCCATCTATGTGATGAGAGGGAGGTCTAGGCAATCTGAGGATCCCTTGACCTCGGGGACCTTTCAAGCTCTGGCACCTGTTCCCACGGGGTTCCAGTGTGGCACTCATGCCGCTCCTGTTCTTAGCTGTTGGCGCCTGCTGGCACCCCGGGTGTTACCGGAGACTGGTAGCATTCAGACAGGAGGTATTACTATGTTCCTGCAGGGACTCTATTCCTCAACCCTTGTGGGTAAAGCCTGCTAAAGTCTGGTTAACAGCACTTGTTTTAGAGTATCCACGCACCGGCTGAGTGTTTAGAGTATCTGCCACTCACCGGCTTGGGCAAGCGACTCCACCGTCCTGAGCCTTAGTCTGCCCATCTGTGAGAGCGGGTGTGCCCACGTTAAAGGGCGGCTGCGAGGACGAAATGAGACAATGATTGACAGGGGCCAGGTGAGGTCACCTGCACCTAATGGGCGCTTCATAAGTGGTGCTTATTCTCAATAGAAGTTTAAAAGGCAATGCTGGTTTAGATGTTGCCTAGGACAATGTCCCCGGGAGGGCATGAAGCACCAGGCAACGACAGGCCACTTCAAGCACCAGGCATCAGACAGGCCACTTTAAACCCGCTCAGCTGCTCTGCGAGAGCCAGCCCCAAGGTTACTCACAGCAGGCAGGGTAAGGTGAGGTGTCCTGGTGCCCAGGGGTGCTCAGGACAGTCTGCGGTTTGCAGGAGGTGGCGGGGTGGGTCGGGAAGAGGTGGCAGGATGCACGTGACTCCCCAGGTGAGGAAAGAGAGAGTCAGGTAGATTTGGGGCCAAGGCGGCTTCTCCTTCTACTAAGTGAAGAGGCAATGGGAGGAAGCGCTGGCCCAGGAGGCCGGAGACCTGGTTCTGACTCCCAGTCTACCTGCGCCACTGCGTGTCCCCAGGGAAGCCCCCTCCCCTCTCTGGGCCCCGATCTCTCCACCTGTGAAAGTGAGAGGATCGCCGAGTTGACCTTGATATGTGGTCTCAGGTCTGCACGATGGGAGCGACAGCCTTGGCCACTTCACTGGGGGAAGGTGGCTGACCACGCCTGGCACACAGGGAGTACTCAGGAAGTGGCGGCTTTGCGTTTCGACGGTGACAGTGTTAGAGTCTACGTGCTGGGGTGCTGCCCTGCTCCCTGCAACTCGAGCCTCAGACCACGCGGCAAACCCAGCCTCTCTGTCCGGGAGAGTCCAGGAGGGTCAGATATTATTCTTCTTCCTTTTTTATTATTCTTCCTGTTAAAGTGATACGATCACTCTTTAATGAAATACGTGACAACTCCTGAGAACACACAGCCCCTGACAATGCAGCCTCGGGCGTGCAGGCAGGAAGTGCTCCCAACTCGCAGTCTGATGACTGAGGGGCGTTCTCAGGCCAACCCCACCACGCTCTCGCGGACCGTGTGGCTTCTCTGCTATAGAGCAGAATGGCCGAACGCCGTTCCTGCCTGAGAGCAGAGGCTGCCCAAGCCACCCCTCGAGGTGCCACTCGGCTCTATGATATGGAGTTAAAAGGTTTTGTTTGGATAGAGTTGGCCCAGAAATATTGTTTGGGGGCTGAGCCTTCTAGCAGCCTCCTTAGACGATAAAGTACACAGGGGTCCCTGGGTTCTTGCCAACGTGCAGACCCGAACTCAGTGCGCCTGGGGGGCCCGAGACGCTGCATTTCTCATAGCAGGGACACTGACACTGCTGGGTCCACGGAGCACTCGAGGAGTAGTAAGATCTTAGAGGACAAAACAGTGAAGAAAATTTATTATTCTCATAACACAAGGCCTGAGGTAGGGGACCTACTGGCTGCCACCTAGAAGACACTGACTGCACTAAACAAACGTGTACTAGCAAGCAAGCACGCGACACGGTTCACACAACCTGCTGCGTGGGCTTGAGGGGGTCCCAGCTCCCTACTCTCTTGGGTTCTCTGACCACCAGCTGCTATAAAACGGTCACTGGAGACAAACGCCAGAATTCCTAAGGCAGGACCCCAATCCCCTTTGCAGCTGGCACCAGCAACCAGGGCTCCAGAAGCCACCTGAGTCCCCTCTCACCCCCATGCCCTCTCTCTGGCCTGTCACGATTCTGGGGTTTCCTCCCTCAGATGACTGCTGGAGCAGCCTCCCCCTGCTGCCCCCGCCGAGGCTGTGCGTCCTCAGACCTGCCAGGTGAAATGCGTCCTGCCCCCCTCCCCAGCGCGGCCTGCCCACACTGCCCACCTGCCCCAGCCCTGCCCGCCGCGCCGCTGCCTGCTGGCCTTCCTGGGGGCTCTCTCCTGCCTACGCTCCTGCTCTTGGAATTCTGCTCTTCCTCCTCCTCCTCGAGCTGGCAGGGTTCCAGCAGGGAGACAGCACAACTCCCCCTGTTTCAGGGTCTGGCGGCTATTGGAGATTCATTTTCAATTTGGTACTCCCTCTCTCGGCTTGCCATCAGAGCAAACACCAGAGATTCTTGTGCCAAAACGTCTCCCCAGTTCAGAGGATAAAAGAAGCCACATACATACGAGACGACAGGGGAGCCCAGGCGGAGAGGAGGTGGTGGGAAGAAGTCGGATGGGAGCTGCACCCAGGGCGAACACCCCGGGCTGGTACGGCGGGTTGAGTGGCGGCCCCTGTCAGTGTCCCGAACCTACGCGTGTGACCTTACTTAGAGAGAGGGTCTTTGCAGATACCATGAAGTTACAGGTCTGGAGATGAGACTGCCCTGTACGAAGTGTCCTTGTAAGAGAGACACGGAGGAGCGGGAAGGGAGGAGGAGAAGGCCGTGGAAGACGAAGGCAGACACTGAAGCCACGCAGCCACGAGCCCAGGTATGCCTGGGGCCATCGGAAGCTGAAAGAGGCAGAGAGGATTCTGTCCTGCCGGCTTCAGAGGGAGCGTGACCCTGCCGATGCCTGGATTTCAGACTTCTGGCCAATAGAGCAGTGAGGGAACAAAGTTCTTGTTGTTTCAAGCCACCCGGTTTCTGTTCATTTGTCACAGCAGCCCTAGGAAACTAACGCAGGTGGAATCCCACACTGCCACTTCCTGAGCACTTCCTTGGGTAAACTGCTTAACCTCTCTGAGCAGACTTCCTTATGCATCAAACGGGGCCATAAGCTCTATCTCGGTTCGTTCAGTGGGCATTTACTGGGTGTGTGTGATGCGCCAGGCACTGAGTCAGGGCTGGGGACTGAACTGAATCAGACACAGGCCCCGCCCGGGGGCAGCCTGTGGTCTGGAGGGCAAGCCCGTGGATCAGAGCATCACGTGAGGAGGTGAACAGCCATGACCATGGTCGGCAGGGCCCCGGGCGTGTGCAGGTCAGGAACCAGGAAGGCCTCCCCTGGGAAGTGCCACCTGCGTGGAGGGATGAAGGAAAAGCAGAAAGCAGGAGGGCAGAGAGGGGCAGGAAGAGCGTTGCAGCGGGGGAAGGGCGTGTACAAAGATGCAGCAGTGCAGGAAGCATGCGTGTCGGGGAGCCGCCAGGAGGCCGGCTGGCTCGGGCCACACTGCAGGGGGCGGCCGTGTTGAGAGACGAGGCAAAGGGGGCAGGGGCTAGCCCACTAGGGCCTCAAGAGGGCCAGCCTTTCCCCTAGTGCGGGGGGAGCCACTGGCAGGCGATCAGCAGGTGGTGTGGTCACATGGGCCTTCGGAAGGACCATCCGAGCTGCAGCGGGGGCGGGGGGCCAGTGAGCAGACCCTGCCGTCATCCAGGAGGGGTGGCGGTGGCTCAGACCAGGGGGTGGGTAGCGGTGGGGAGGGGGCCAGATTCAAGAGCTACCTAGGAGGTACGACCGCAGGCCGGCCGTGGGGGACAGCAAGACGGGCACTGAGAAGGACCCCACAGTCTTGGCAGGAACGGAGGGCTCCCAGCTCCCCCGTGATACTGGGCTCTCTGTCCTTCCTTGTGCCAAGGAGGCCGTGGGGAACCTGGCCCCAGGTGCCAGCACCTATCGCTGGCTTCCCTGGCTAGGGGTGAAGACGGACACCCACAATTTGCACAGCTTAGAAAATCAACTTACCATCCTTGAGGGAGAAGGTCAGCAGGTCCTGCAGGGAAAGGCACTGGAGTCAGTGACAAGGTGACATGCAGTCAGCCTGCGCATTTGACAAATATTTACTGACTCCTGCCACGGAGAACAAGACAGACACAAAGCCTCTGCCCTGGATCCTAGTGGCAAGCCAGATGATAAACTAGTAGCAGATAAGGAAAGAAATACGGAGAACTCCAGGCAGTGAGACTAAGGAGGGAAGGGGCTGTTTTATATCGATGCACTTGCCCCCTCGACAGCCCGTGCCACAGCTTCTGTGTGCCCTAACTGCACACACAGCGGGCGAGTGACATGCTCAAGGGCACATGGCAGAGCCGCTGCTCTGTAAAGAGGCACCGCAGCTTGGGGGAACGTGGGCTCTGGCGCCAGACCACCAAGGTTCAAGGCCTGGTTTGGCCATTTGTCAGCTGTGTGACGTTGGGTAAATTGCTTAACCTCTCTGTGCCTCAGTTTTCACAACTACAAAATGGGGATAATCCTACTACCTACCTCATAATAGTTGTTTGAGAGTTACACGAGTTGATTTTTGTAAAGGTACTAGCACATAATAAACACTACCAGAGTAGCATTAAGTCGATACTAAATATTCAACAAGGATAATGCAACATCAGCTCTGATCATTTCATAAAGTGATATTACGAGGACATATTTTACCTTTCAACCACTTCGCCCCTATGGGAAGGAATTTTCAGACGGCCTCTGAAAGACAACGCTCTGTTCCACTGTGCCTGGCAGCTGCCGCCAGGTGTTGGGTGTACCTGAGTGATCACCAGCGAGTCGTCCTTCAGGATGGGGTCCTTCAACAAGATCTGGGCGAACACGTCTGCTCCTTCGCCTCCCAGGCCGCCGGCAAAAGCAGTCATGGTTGGCAAGACGGCCTCGGACAACTGCAGCCACTGCACCAGGCCGCCCACGAACTCTGCGCAGAAGGAGCTGAAAGGCAGACGGGGCTTAGATGCCAGAGGGCCTGGGACTCGGCCTCACAAGGCCGTTGGGAAGTGCAGGTCAGCTGTAGCCGTGGGTGTGAATGGCCAGCGCACGCACACACGTGCACACACATACACACATGCACACACACGCATGTGCACACACATGCATGCACACGCATGTGCACACACATGCACGCACACACGCACAGAACTTAGCAACTGTGATCCTAATTTTAGCTGAAGTGGATTTTACTAATAGCTTCTTCTCCCACCAAAACTTTTACCAAAAATGCTGACAAACCGGAGGGATGCGGGCAGCGGCAGTTGGCCGTGCTGGGGGCTGAGGATCGAAGGGGAACAGGCTCGGTCTCAGGGTGGGGTGGAGACGCTCAGTAGCCGAATGGCCCCCGTGCCGTGTGGTGCTGTAGGACAGAGGCAGCATCCAGCCCTAAGCAGCCCAGACAAGGAGCCCCACGGCCACCGCGGAGGTGACAGCAGGGACTGGAAAAGGCTTCTCAGAGCAGGCGATCTGCTGCTCCTGGAAGTCACCCAGGACGTGCTTTCTGGAAAAAAGCTGGCTGCAGAATGGGCAAAGTGAAGAGGGAGGGTGCCCTGCCACCACGTGCTCTGCTACCGCGGGGCTCTGTCCACATGGGCATTTGGCTGGTGTCCTGCAGGAGTCCCCAGGGGGAGGCTGGATGGGGCCACTCTAGAGGAGAAGGCCCTGCGGGCTGGGACACAGAGACGGGGAGCCCACGGCATTCGGGGGACGCGGCAGAGTCCACATCAGATTTCTGACACAGGACCACCTCTGGGGCAGGTGTGAGCGGGGTGGCGGGGTGTGGAGCAGGGGAGTCAATTACGAGGTGATTATTCCAGTCCAGGCAAGAGGCTGACAGCCAGAGACCAGGGCTGCCTCCAAAATCAGAGTCCTAGCCTGCCTCGAGCCAGGCTGCCCTGGGACTCCAGCCTGGGTTCTGCACTCTACAGGGACTGTGACCAGATCGGGGTGGGCTCAGGCTTCCCAGGAACAAGTACAGCTCCCTAGAGCTGGGGGGACCTCAGGACCCCCTCCTGCCCCACCCCACCCTTGTACTGCACGGCCCACCCATCACGTTCCTTAGCGTGGCCACAAAGTGGAGAGGCCAGAGCCCAGGGCCCTTGACGGGAGCAGCGAAGAGCCGGGGTTTGAATCCTACGGTTGGATTCCCAGGAAGCTGCCCTGCAACGGAGAAGGTGAGGGCTCCCGGTGGGGGGGGGGGTGCTGAACACCGCGGGGGGTGGGGGGAGGAGGAAGCAGGCCTGGACAGAGGGGGCCATGGAGCCGTGGTGCAGTCTCAAGGGAGGCCTCAGCCCACCCTGCAAGAGTGGGTGGGGATGACCCCTCAGAGCTGCCCCAGTGGGTCAAGAGGGCCAGGCCTTCCTAGCCCCACATCAGCCAGTCACTGGATACAGGTACTCTGGGGTGGGGGCAGAACCTTGGGCATAGTGGCTCTCTTTAGCTAAGGTGGGTCCCAAAGGGGGATAGGCAGCTCGGGGCTGGGCTGGTGGCCCTCCCAGCTGCTGACGGTGAAAGTCTTTCATTCCTGAAGGGGGACCTGAGGGCACAGCACCTTGGGAAAGTACCTTGACCTCTCTGTGCCTCAGTGTTCCTATCTGCAAAATGGGTTCAAGAGACCAACTTCATAAAGTTGGTTAAGGATTAGACGAGGTGATATACATGAAGCACCCGAAGAGGACCCGGCATGTAGTACATGTTCAACTAATGTCAGCCATCACTTTTATGTGCAGGGTCACAAAGGGAGGCAGTTGGGGACAGGGTTAAGAGTCAGACTCTGGAGTCCAACCACCTGGGGGAGTCCCGGCTCTGCTGTGCCCTCACTTCACCTCTCTTAGCTTCAACTTCCTGTGAAGTAACATGTAGACCATTAACAGGGCCTGTCTCTAGCTTAATGGGGAAGATTAAATGACACAGTAACAGTGTCTGGCACTGTGACCACTTGATAAATGTCAATTACTGCTATTACAGCGGTCACCGTTTAGTCCACTACCCTGGGGTGGTGTGTGGGTGTGCGCCAGGGGGAGGAGACGGCTAAGTGGACTGAACATCACTTAGGGGTGAATCTATAAGCAGAAAGGACATAGGGCCAAGGGCAGCAGCATGGCCTGACCCTGCTGTCTAGGAAGACAGTCTTAGATGTAGAGAAGCGTCTCATAACAGAGTGCAAGGAGCACAGCCTCTGGTTCAAATCCCAGCTCTGCCACTAGCTGTGTGATCTTAGACAAGTTACTTCACCTCTCTGGGCCTCGGTTTATCTATAAAGCGGTAGAGATGATGAAACCTATTTCATAGGGTAAATGGAAGGATCAATTAAGTTAATATTTGTCATGTGCTTAGAACAATCCCTGGCACATATAAAGCACTATATATGTTTCTCTACATGGGCAAATAAATTAACAAATAAATATGTAAAGTGCCCGTGCAGCAATGTATCAAATAATGAGTAGCATTTTAGATTGGCAGGGCCTTGGGAATTGCTACTAACGTGGCTGGTGGTCTCATTGAAACATAAAAATCAACAGTAATAGTGACAACATATAATCACAGAGCAGCTGTCTGGCAGCCCCGTGCCAAGTCTGTTATACACACTGAGTTGTTCAATTCTCACCATAACCCCACAAGGGACACAGGTACTGTTTTGCCCCCATTCTAGAGATAAGAAAACCCCGATCTAGAGAGTTAAGTGACAGCTCCCAGCTCAAACCTCCATCTCTAGGACCCCAGAGGCCATGCCTGCTCACTGCAGAGACGGCCCCTCTCCCGCAGCTGCATCCTGGAGCATTCGCCAGGCACTGGCCACTCACGGAACAAGGGCATCCAACGACCCCCTCCATCCTACCCCACCTTGCAGAAGGCACTCCTACGCTGCTCATTAAATATCTTTTGAAGGGTCTCGCAGCAGCTAAGGGGCAAAGCCTCACCTGGAATCCAGGCTTCCAGCCTCCCGGTCAGTGCAAAGCTCCTCCCATTCACCAGGGCTTAGCAAACTGCAGCTCACAGGCCAAACATGGCCTGCAGCCCGTGTTTGCAAATAAAGTTTTATTGGAACATGGCCACGTGCATTCCTTTACATAGTATCTATGGCTGCTCTGGGGCTACAACAGCAGAGCTGAGTAACTGAGACAGAGACCGCCCCGCCTGCATTCCCAAACTATCTGGCTCTTGGCAGAAGAAGTTTGCCGACCCTGCTCTACCCCATTAGTTTCTCCACGTTTAATAAATGGAATTAATTGAAGGAAACAACATCTTTAATGTTTAAAGCATGGATAAGAAATATTTCAGAGGATTGCTTTTATACCCCATGGGGACAAAAACTGCCAGAGTGTTTTCTAGAGATTGCTGAAACCAACAGCATACCTGACCTTTAGAAAGATTGAGATTTTTTAAAAGACGTGTGTTGTGTTTCAGAAGACGGATCACCCATGTGGAAACAACTGACATGCTGAATTGGAAATATTCAAGAAGGAACATCCCAAGGCAAATGTTTGTGGCCCGGCAACAGCAGCCCATGTTGGGAAGAACATGACATCATGGGGCTGTGGGGACACAGGACATGAACTCGCTGCCCCTTGTGCCCTCCTAGGTGGTGCCCTGCACAGGCCTGGCACATGGTACAGGCTCGTAAATACTCGTTTATGGAAACAAAGCACACGAAGCTCCTCTTTGGCTACGTGCTGGTTTATCAGGTGGGGTTCCATTATTGACAATTAATAACAACAGCCGTTTGGCAGTAGCTCTGTGCCAGCCTCTGCAGGGGCCATCGACAGGTGCCCTCCTTACAGCCGCCCTCTCTGATGGTGCTGCCAACAATGTCGGCCGTTTCTCTGACGCCGCAGTTCCCCAGCGGAACCCACTCCCCTAACGGAGACTGAAGATGGCAAGTGCCTTTATTCGTTATCAGGCACGTGACAGGATCTAGCCAGCGACACAAAGGGGAGGCTTCTGGGGGTATTCTGGGAAAGATCTCTCCCCTGATGAGAGACTGGAGAATTGCTGCTCCCCTCGTTTCTGACTTGGGCCTTGTCTTGAGAGGGTGTGATGCATGGAGCCGCAGCAGCTATTTTGTGATCAGGAGGAGGAAGGCCACTAGAACTGCTGAGAAGCCAACCCAAAGGCCTTTGAGGCACTGAATCAACCCTGGAACTATCTACCTCTGGATCTCTTGCTAATTGAAAAAAATAAATCTGTTGTCTAAATCTCTTTTGGTACCATGTTCTATTACTTGAAGCCCAAAATACGCCGACTAGTAGGAGTAAGGTCAATATTATCTTCATTTCCCAGAGGAGGAAACTGGGCAAAGAAAGTAAGCCACAGAGGTAAGCAAGCAACTACTGCCATTATTTGAGAGCCTACTATGTGCTTTACCTACATCACCTCATTTGATTCTTGTAATCACCCTGTAGGTGGGTATTATGAGCCCCACTCTACAGAGGAAGAGACTGATGCTTCCCGAGGGACATTAAATAACCTGCCCAAGGGCACATGCAACTGGAAAGCGGCAGAGTTAGGATCTGAGCCCAGATCTGAGGCCAAAGCCTACAGAATGGCTCCCTGTGAACGAAGCAGCATTTATCCACCTCTTCTTTCCCAGAATCTTTCCTGAGTGTCACTGCTGCACTGAGCTGTGTGCGAGGCACTGGGGCTCAGAGGTCAACAAGGTGGCTTCTGCCCCAGGAGCTCAAACTGGAGGAGTGACGGGAATGGAAGCGTTCCAGTACAGTGTGGTGGCTGCAGTGACTGGTCACTGAGCATACAGGTGGAGTGACACCCTGGTCTACGGGACAGGCTAGGAAGGCTTCCCAGAGGTGACCCCATGGAGTTGAAAATGCTCAAGTGTTCAGTCGAGTGGAGAAACAAAGAAAAACAAAAACAAGGCCGGGCGCGGTGGTTCACGCCTGTAATCCTAGCACTTCTGGGAGGCTGAGGCTGGAGGATCCCTTGAG